AACAAGAAATGAGAAACTTTGAATGCGAGAGTCTTCTTCGAGTATGTGAATCAAGACTTTCAACGAAAATAGCAATTTGTGGATGCAAATTTCCGTCGTCTTCTCCTTTGATGAAAATGCACCCGCAAAATAATAACACTTAAGACTAAGGCCAAAAGCCTTACACGCCCATGACGAATTGGGGGGGAGGGGGCTTTGGCCAAAGAATCTCTAATGCCAAAGTTAGAATTTTGAAAAAAATGTATTTAGGAGTTTGTGGGTAGCAAATGACCTAGCTTTTTAGTGGGGGAATAAGGCTATTTATAGGAGAGTGGCTGGCCCTATTTGGTGAATAGTGGCCAACCCTATTTTGTGAATAGTGGTCAGCCATATATGGTGAAATTGTATGAATAATTACAAGATATTATGTGAAATAATATCTTGCAATTAATATGACAATTAATTCTAATTTAAATAGGAAAATTGAGAGTTACCTTTTGAATAAGGATTTGATGAGGAGTGATGAGAGGGATTTGAATAAATACCATTTTGGTCACCTTTGCCTCTTCTTTGATTGAGTCGTTACTGTCTGTTGCATGCGCATGGGAATTCCGGTGTGCCTCGAGGGTAATTTTATCCTTTTCACCCAAAAGTCCATGTGTCACCTCCATAATTTTCTTAATTATTTTTGGCTCCACAAGTGTCTCGAATGGAATATACAAATTTGAGATGTAAAAGTCACATTTATATTTCATTTTATATTTACGGTAGGTGTATATATTTAATCCTACTCTAATGCGAGGTATGTAAATTTGGAATCTCATTTATTTTCTCCTTTTGAATAGCAAGGTCTACCTCCAAAACATATTAAATAAGAGACATAAATTTGCATTTTTATTTACATCTTCCGGCGAAGATGAATGTTTTACACTTGAGAGCTTTCTGGCTAATAAAAAATGTAAAATGCCAATTCCAAGACATTTTGCACCCCCATTAGAAATGCTCCAAGGATGTTATTATAGATACTTTAAAGGAGTAATTAGGTTTTCATCCTTATTTTTACTACTCTATTGATTAAAACCTTATTACTTTTCAATTTTTGATCAAGGTCCTTTGTATTAATAATATCATTAATTATTTCAATAATAAAATATTTTTTATTTCTAAATATATTCATTTAATATTAAAAATGTTACAATTAGTATATTTATACTTATGGCTAAATTTTTTATCATATATTTTTATTTTTAGTTTGTACCCATTTTTAATTTGCAACCCTTTTTTAATTTGTACCAATTTTCCTTTCAGTTTTAATTTGTACCCATATATTAAATTCTTTTTGTGCCCATATTTTTTAAAGTTTTATTTGTATTGTACCCATATTTTTTTATTTATTTGTACCCATTTTTATTTTTGCTAAATGTACCCATTTTGAAGAATATACCCATGTTTTGATACAATAATTTTTTGGTTATTTTTATGAATGTACCCATGTTTACACACACACACACACAATAGTATATTTATATTTTAATATTTTTAATCCCACAAATTATAGGTTTTTATTTAAAATCTCATTACTATAAACAACTATAAATTTTAATTTTTAATTTCAAAAATATAGTAACGTACATAGAAATAAATTATCAATTAATTTCAGGGACTTAGATCAAAAATTGAAAACCAATAAGGTTTTAGTCAAAGATTGTTCATAACTAGGGACCGCATCCAAAGTCTCCCTACTTTAAAATTAATCTATGCTCCTCCCATAAGAAATCCTGAATAACACTAGGGAGGACTGCATAATGACTTTTTTTTTAAAATGCCAATAACAACTCTTTTTCATAAAAAATGCTCGGAGCTTACGGTTGATGAAAACATTGTTCGGAGTTTATAAAGTTTTTAGACATTATATACCATTGACTTATATATTGGTTAAATGTAAACATCGAAACAAGATATTAACGATCTCAATTGTTCTTTTTTTTGCATCAGCTAAAAGATCATATTTTCAAAAAATAAAATCTGAAAAACGAAATCCGGTGAGAATAATAGAACGTAAACGACAATCGACAGTTAAATATAAATCTAGGGTACATAGATTATGGTGTCGAATTTCGGAGTTGACCCCTTTACCAAAGTTGCAAAACTTGTCATTGCGAGTGATTTTTTTATTTTTCACACTTCTATATTAATTATTAGTAATTTTTAATAATTTTTCACTCAAACAAAAAAGCTACAATTCATGAGGGTTTGTAAGGTTTTAAAAATTTAAATGAGGGTGTAACTATCAAAAAGCATAGAGGGTGCAATCACAAGCATTTGTATATTTTTCACACTTGTACATTACTCATTATGATTTTATTTATTTATTTTGAACTCTCTTAAAAATACTATTCACGAGGGTTTGTACGGTTTAAAAAATCCAAACAACCATATACCAATTGTCAAAGTATAGAAGATGCGATCATGAGTGTTTACGTATTTTTTTTTCACATTTGTAAATTAATTATTATGAATTTTTTAATGTGCTTTGGAACTTTTTGATTTGACTTATGTAAGATTAAATACTATGGCTAAGGTTCTTATGTAGTTTAAAATTGTCAAACTAACTTTTTTTTTCTTAACGGGTTAAAACAAGCTACCCACAGGTAAATCTATTAAGCACCCGTTATTAACCGAATCTTAACGAGTGACCCAATAACAACTCCATTAGTTAACGTGTTCACCTAAAACCTGTTATTTTCGTGTCATTTAGGTTCAGATTAACAGGTCCTGTAAGAAATTGTCAGGTCTAATGATGAGACATGAGAAGGTTGAAATGAGAAGGTTCAGGTTAACAGATCGTGTAAGAAATTGTTAAGTTTAATGAGGAAACATGAGAAGGTTGAAATGAGAAGGCTGCTTGCATTTCTCTCATTAGTATGTGTAGCGGTGGATTTTTTTGCCAAATTGCCGTGCCAACCGAATTGCCAACTGTGTCATACCGATTTTGCCAAATTGTTTGTACCAATCGGTAATGGTACGGTATTGTACCGTACCGAAATTTCATGGTACGGTATTGGTAATGGATACCATTACCACGGTATTACCGTACCATACCGAAAATCCAATATAATTTATAATTTATAAATTATATAATAGATAATTATATAACACATATTTATAATATTCCAATAATTTGAAAATAAAACTCTACTTATATTAGCATTGTTGTTGGTGACTTTGATCTCTTAAAATTGTGGAAATCAAACACAAAAGAGTTCCTAATTCTTTCACACATAGCCAAAATATCTTTGTAACCCCCATTTATACTGTTGCTAGTGAAAATGCATTTAGTCTAGGGAGGAGGGTTGTGGACCCTTTTAGGGTATCCTTGACTCCTAAAATAATGGAGGCACTAGTGCATACTAGTGGTTGGCTTAGGGCAGATGAAGTAAACTTCTACAAGGAACCAACGGAAGATATGCTTCAATTTTACAAGGAAACGGAAGAAGAGAAAACAAGAAAGATATGCTTTAATTTTTTTAGTAAATTTGTTATTAAATGGTTTTTAACTTTAATTCTTCTTGCTACTAATTAATATGTTTTCTTTGTTTGTAATGTAGGCTTGACACAAACTCAATCTTCTACAAGTTCAATGCGTCCTCCAAAAGCTTCGACATCTCAAGCTTGAATAACTGATCAATGAATTCTCTTTATTGAAGTTTACTTCCAATTTTCATTTGGTTTGAAACTTTAATTTCTATTTTGATTGTTAACTTCTATTTGTTTTGGTTCGTAACTTTTATTTGGATTGTAAGCTTAATTTTCATGATGAATCTTGATGCATCATTTGAATTATTATGTGTGTTTTGTGAATGATGAATAATAGATGAATTTAATCTATAATGTATGAGATAAAGGTACAAAAAAAAATGTTTTGCCCTTGAATTGGGTTAAAAAAACAAAAACATATTTTGTCCCAAAACAAAATGGCAATTACCATTGCCATACCATGCTAACCGAACTTTTGGCAATACCGAACTTCGGTATACCGAAAGTTTGGTATAGTAATGGTAATAGATTTTACCAAACCGAAAGTTTGGTACGGTAATTGGTACAAGGATTTTGGTACGGTAACCGTACCGAACCCACCCCTAAGTATGTGTGTCTATATATATACATATATATATATATATATATATAGGAATTGCTTAAGGGGAGGGATCCCCATTTTTTCAAAAAAATGGGGACACGCTCCCCACCGTTGGATTTGAATTAAATGAAATCATGTGGTTGAGATTCTATGGCCTGTGTTTTAATCTCAACCACACAATTTCATTAAAGTCAATCTAACGGTGGGGAGCGTGTCCCCATTTTTTTTGAAAAAATGGGGATCCCTCCCCTTAAGCTCCCTGTATATATATATATATATCTCACGTTTACGATGTCATGTAATTTATTCTTATGCTCAAGACCATAGTTAGAAATTAGCGAAAAGCGTTGGACTAGTGCAATAGCCTAACAGTGACTTTTATTTGGATTTGAATAGCATTTGATTACTCAGAGATGAATAGAGTTCCTACATAAAATTCTTTGTGCTTGATTTATAAGATTTCGTATTTATGAATATAAATCATTTTGTAAATTTCATTTTTGCCAAAAATCAATTAAAATTAACATTATGTTTGGATGAATAAATTTAAGATTACTAAAGAATTTTAAAATGACAGAAATTGAAATGACGAGATTTTATTTTATAGAATTTGTGAATTTTCTTGTTTGGTTAACAAAAAAAAAAAACAATGGAATTGTATACGGAATTTGTTATTTTTAAACTCTTAATCATAGAAATTGGGAAATGACACCTATTTACATGAAATTTAAATTTGGGAATTGAAGGCCATAAATTCCAAGTTATTTTCAAATTTATTTCCCTTATCAAAACATAGTGTAAAATCATTTAATCTATCAACAGAAACGAATAAATATGCAGTTCGGTTTGTTGACGACAAAGTTTTATATAAAACAAAACAAAACAAAAGCAAAAATGGAGGGAGGAATGGCGGGAATGAACAAGGAAATTACAATCATAACCTCGGCCCTTTTTGATACCTCTGTTGACGACTCGAGAGACAAAAGTATGTAACAGATCGAAGGTAGAAAGAAGGAAAGAAAAAGAAAAAGATGGAGAAAGTGGTAGCGGAAGGCTATGCCGAAGGCTATCGTGATCCGTGTGCTGAAGGACAAATTTCCCAGTGCCACAGGGGCGACGGCGACCTAATCGTTCACAAAGAAGCGCTCCTCGCATTCTCCGTAAGCGCCCGAATCTTCATCCACTACCTTTTCTGAGTTTTATCAGGACTCTCGAAGGCTAATCACTTTTCAATTTTCATTAAAATTTGTGCTCGTGAGGTGTTTGATGAAATGCCTGACTCTTTCCTTTGACAACTTAGAGCAGTTGCTTGGATCTGAAGTGTGGATATGATTGATGTTTTCTTTGGTTTTGTGAAAGCAAAATTCAACCAATTTGGTTGATTTGGATGTGTGAGAAATCTTGTTTTCTTGGTTCCTTGCGTGCAGACCTAAGGACAAAGAATGCTGGAAAGGGTGCAGTAAAGAATGAAGTAAGGAATGCTACAAAGAATGCAGGAAAGAGTGGGAAGAATGCAGGAAAGAGTAGAAAGAATGCAGTAAAGAAAGCGGGAACATAAAAAACGAAAGAAGTGAAGAGGAAGAAGAAGACGAAGAGGAAGAAATTGGAAGAGTCATCGTCACGAAAGCAAGGCGAAAAGGATGAAGAAAACCACGATGAGGATGGAAGTGGTGATGGATGAGTAAGCAAGCAAGGAATAGACATTTTCTGCTAGTTTCGGTGTTTCCTTTTTCTTTCTTAGCATGTAGTTTGCTTCTGCATCTAACAGCCCATTATATTTTTGAACAGTCAGCAGTTTGGTTAAAGTTCAGAATCTTCATATTTTACCCCTTCGAATGCGAATTAAGATGAAAACCGCTTTGTGAAAGCCTACAAGAACAAGAAAAAACCACCGCTATCTTCACTGCCTATTGTTCTTGTACTGTTCATGTAACCTTTGGTCGTAATCTAGAAAACACATTGAACTGGTGTGAGATTTTGCATTGCCCATGTAGAAAAATGAACAAACCAAAGAGCAAAGGATGCGAGGGAACGCATCAGAGGCGAGTGAATTTTAACAATTTTTCATTTACATTGCATGAGTGATCATACAAATGCTTTCACTTAAGTTTTATCGTAGGAGTAGAATACCACTACCCCAGCCACTGCTTTGATGTGAAGGCGAGGGGTGTGGCTGCGCACCTGGTCGTTGCCTGCAATGAGGAAGTGCCAAAATGTGATTTCAAGGCCTCCTTGTTGTGCCTTGGCTCGTTCGTCAGTGCGGAAGTGAGATTCAGATTATCTCACTAAACTACAGACCCACAATTGAACAGTTTAAATTACAAAAAATAAAGACACTGAGAAATTTACGAAGTTCGGCAAAAACCTGCTTACGTCCTCGGAGAGATATTGCTCTTCACTATGAGAATAACTAGTACAAGATACACTTGAGTTAAATCAACATAACCCAAACCCCAATCCTTTGTACACTCATAGAATTTTCCCAAGAGCCTCAATCTACCCCAAGAGTTTTCTCACTCTCACTCTCTATTTTCTCTCCTTTGTGTTCTCCTTTGGATGCTCTCTCAATGCATTACTAAATGCACAAATATTGCATCTAGTTATAGGCATACACTAGCAACTATGCCAACAAACAAGACCAAAAAGTCTTAAGTTCACATGACATAATTATCACCTAGCCTATCTAGCATGCACCAAAGTCTATACCTTGTCTATAAAGTACAACTTTTCTTCATTTGTCATTTAATGCATATAAAATAAAACATGCACAATTGTGTGCAAGCAACCACAAAGTCAAGTCTTGCTTCCAATTTTGCTTGTGGTAGTCACCATGTCTTCTCTTGAAACAAGACATCCATGCCACAACCGAAAGCCAAACACAAAGTGGCTACTGCCATTTCCCTGTAGCACTCAGAAATTTACACTATCAAAATTGTTGCCAACTCATAAGTATTTGAGCCAAACACAACAATCTCCACCTTGGCGAATATACCATGCAAAAATCCTTGCATCCATTGCCAAAGCCTCAATTGGCCTTACGTATCAGCATACATACCCTGAATCAACCTCGTTGGTCCTATTTCGATTCAGTCACTGTCAATGCATGTGCAGCTGCTGCAAGCTAAAAATCACCATTTAGCTTCAGACAAGATCTCGACACATCCTCGTCTCCTCCAGCAGGTTTTCCCCTCTTTATTGTCTGCAACCTGGAAACTTGTCAGTGCACCTATTTCCAGCAACACCTGTCGAGCTAGACAAATATTCCTCACACTTCTCCTCCTTTAGGACCATCTCATCACCTGTGAATCCCATAGCTCAACCTGCTGCAAAACCCCTGCAACACTTGAGACTAAACATCACCAGGAGAAGTGTTGCTTCTACCTAGAGGGCATACTTGAAGTCTTCATCCACAAAATTGCTACAACACGGACCAAGATCATCCTTTTTTTTTCTCAAAGGACAAGTTTTCTTTTTATGCCCGAATTCTTTGCAGTCGTAGCATTGTAGACCCTTGCCTTTGGAACTCGATTTGAACCTACTATCTCCCTCAAATCCTTCTCCCAGTTTTCTTCCACAATTCCAACCTTGAACAGCTAAAGCAGTCTCGTGCCCACCATCAACAATGGTCTTCTTCTTTTGTGTATCATAAGACACCAAAGAAGCCTGCACCTACTCCAAACTTATTGTATCTTTTCCATTCAGTAAGGTTGTCACAAAATTCTCATACGAATCTGGAAGTGAGGTAAGAAGTAACAAGGCTTTGTCTTCTTCCTCAACCTTAACATCAACTTTCCGCAATTGATCCAAGTATCCGTTGAACACATTCATGTGGTCTATGAGATTCCCGCCTTCATCCATCTTTAGCTTGTACAACTTCCGCTTCAGATGTAACTTGTTGGTCAAACTCTTAGCAATATAGAGTTTTTCTAACTTCTCCCAGAGTGCAGGCGCAGAATCTTCATCCATAACATTATTGATAATGTTGTTAGCTTTACAGTGTCGAATTGTGCTAACACAACGCGACTCCAGCTCCTCCCACTGGTCATCTGTCATTTATTTAGGCTTCCCATCTTTTCCCTTCAAAGCTTTAGCCAAGCCTTGTTGAGTCAAGACATCCTTTACTCTCATCTACTAGAAAGTAAAACTGCCTTTCCCATTAAACTTCTCAACTGAAAATGACATGTTTGTAGTCATCATGGTGAATAACAAATTTGAACCGTCAATGAACCAAAGCTTCCAACAAAGCTCTGATACCAATTGTTGTGCCTTAGCATGTTCGTCAGTGCGGAAGTGAGATTCAGATTATCTCACTAAACTACAGACCCACAGTTGAACAGTTTAAATTACAAGACATAAAGACACTGAGAAATTTACGAGGTTTGGCAAAAACCTGCCTACGTCCTCAGAGAGATATTGCTCTTCACTATGAGAATAACTAGTACAAGATAAACTTGAGTTAAATCGACATAACCCAAACCCCAATCCCTTGTACACTCAGAAAGTTACACTATCAAAATTGTTGCCAACTCATAAGTATATGAGCCAAACACAATACTCTTATGTTCAATAGTCCAAGTGATTGATTGCACCATGGAACAGTCCAAGTAAATTCCTATAGAAAAATTAGGCCCTATTACAGTCAAGGACATACGAGGGGATCAAAATTGTAAGGATGCGCAACAAATGAAAAATGTTAAGTTGCAAGGATAACGAAGCAAGACCTGAGTTTGTTCATGCCCAATTATCAAAGACTCGCCAAAGGCCCACCTGCAGAGTCGGACAAGTGTGAGATTTGATCACAAAATACCTTGATATTAGTTGGAATGGGGTTGAAATGTTTGAACTCTTAAATTTCTCTTCCTCTAGCCGATGTGGGATATCTGACAGAGGCCTACTAAAAAATGCCCAAAAATGGCCACAAACAAAGACCTAAGAGAGACAACAAAAAGGTCGCCCACCGCCACTGCCACTATCCTAAAAAGATCTTTTTCCCACGGTATAAATACACCCATCTAGAGTTCATCTCTGGTAACACAATCTAAACACATGAATTCTCTTGCCCATTGTTTGAGTTTAAAATCATTCACTAACTTGACTGTTGGAGAGCCTTTAGCTGACACTCCCCCCGGTCTTAGGCTTGCTCATGGTTGTTTACTATTTTGTTGGTTGCTCGAGTTTATGCACAATGACCACTCACGGTGATGCGCAAATTTGGTTCCAACAATGGTCATTTATACGCTTACCATGAGAGTCGCTTCATCATACTCCTCGTATAATAAGAGTTACAATTGAAGTTTGGTAATATTATGACCCTAGTTATTAGATTTTCCAATTACATAAGTGATATTCGTTGATTTGCATTTTGGATTCGTCGTTAATAAGATCTGAATCAGTGAATATTTAGATCTCCTCTTCAAGATCATCCTTGAAAAAAAAAATTAATAATATTTTAACAATCTTTTCATCTATGTTCGCTATCAAGAGTTGGCAAAGCCCTCGGAGGATTGGGAGTGGTTGTGTGAGCATTAAGCCCTTCGTCGCACATAAGTTGAAACAACGATGTATGTATAAATAAAAAAAAACTAGAAAACCGATTTTGATAGGAAAATTTTCGTTGCCTCCTTGTTTAACCGTCTAAGCAGCTCGTTGTGCAAGGGTTTACCTAACGAAGACCTGTCCTCGTCGGAAACTCAACGCGACGACACTGTACCGTAACCTTAAACTTGACGTGGTGATAGACTTCTTCCCTTGAACTTTGGTGCCATGAACGTCTTTGTTGCAATTCTTAGTCATGCAAAAAGACTTAAACTTGTTTTCCTCACGAAAACTGTTTTCTGTAGAGTGCTGGCCTACCAGCCGATTCACACAATAATCTTTAGCAAGGAGAAAAATGAGCTTTTAAAGGCTCCTAGCTTAAATTACTGTTTTTCAATAACTTTTTGAATAAAAACTCTATTTCTATTGGTTTTTATTTATTATGACTCCCTAAATTAAATGGTATGGTTGGAGAATAAATGCTTTAGGGAGCTATTAAACTAGCTTTCTATACCCCTTTCTATCTCTAAGCAACATCAACTAGAACAAAATCAAGTAATATATATTAATATATGGGTCCTTTATATATACATATATGTATGTATATTATAATGCATTTCTTTTGTTACATCCTAGTGGGATATTTATTCTTAGCAGCACCCACCTATTTTCATAATAAATAATGCTAAATGAACTTAAGAAATTATACTGTACATGTTCTAACCTTGAAAAAATTATTTGTGTCCATTATTTGGTAATCTTTCAAGTTTGTAAAGATAAATATGCAACTGTGATTATTTATGTTCAACTGTACAATGTATACCCCCATAGTTGCCAACAAATTAATCAATAATTCAATAATATAGTATATAACCCCACTGTAGCTGCATATATAGTTCTTCACTTATTTTTCCCAGATTTCTTCTTGTCCCTTCCTAGAGCACTATGAATATTTGGCGGATACAGGCCTCCACCAATCTGAGAAGATGAATGGGACGACGAAGATTTCTTCTTGTCTCTTCCTAGAGCACTATGAGCGTTTGGCGGATACAAGACTCCACCACTTTGAGAAGATGAATGGGATGATGAAGATCTCTTCTTGTCCCTTCCTAGAACACTCTGAGCAGTTGGCGGATTCGAATCTCCACCAGAAGACATAGTTGCTAATGATCAGCTTAATTAAACTTGTACACAGAAGGTATAGAAAGGAGATCGAGTTGTGGCTTTTGCATGGAATGTTGGAATTTATAGCCAATTGGGAGGGACGTTA